AGAATAAGAATATTCTAGAATCTAGCAAGAGCAAGAGGTAACTAACAAGCTCTAAAAGTAATGAAATTAATTCACAACTAAGCCCTAAAGCTTAGTAAAAGGAATTTGGAAGAGATCTAACTTTATTTTCCTGCAATATTGACCACCATTTAATTTAAGATCAGTCATCACCGGTGAAAAAGTGGAAGGAAAGCCTTTTTCTCATTATTATATACTGACTGATGTGCCCGGCATTGCCCGTGAAATTTTAAAAACAAATTTAGAGAAAAAAAAATTCTTATCGAAAGGGTTTCAGGAATTCATTAACTTGAGATCAATGTGTGTTTAAAAATCTTCAATGTTAAAATTTCGATTTTTCCGTTTAACCAGAAAAAGATAATATTCTCTTTAATCAGAGAACTTTCTTTTAACCAGAGAACTTTCATTTAACCAGAGAACTTCCCTTTAACCAGACTTAGGCTATCCCTAAAAAATCTGCATTAAAGGGATTGTTGTCAAACTAAAATGAAAGAGGGTAAAGGATAAAGCCTAGAAATTTTAGGAGTTGATTGCGACCAATATTAATTCTATCTGATGTCCCTGTCGCAAGAAATTGATATAAACTCTGTCAAAGTCATACGAAAACTCTAATATACGTGATATTGTATTTGAATCGCAAAGTTACGGCAGATTATATTCATCAAATATGGAACAAATCTTAAAATTAAGATAACCCAGAGGTGCCTAGGAAGTTTAGGCACGATCCTATCATATTTTGAAAGTTAGATTTTTTCTAACTTTTGACGATCAATGTTTGGCCGCCGGGTGTCTCAGCTCTCAATTTTTAAGGATTTTACTTGGCAGAGACAGAATATTCTAGAAACTAGCAAGAATAAGAATATTCTAGAAAATAACAAGAATAAGAATATTCTAGAAAGTAGCAAGGATAAGAATATTCTAGAAACTAGCAAGAATAAGAATATTCTAGAAACTAGCAAGGATAAGAATATTCTAGAAAATAACAAGAATAAGAATATTCCAGAAACTAGCAAGAATAAGAATATTTTATAAACTAGCAAGAATAAGAATATTCTAGAAACTAGCAAGAATAAGAATATTCTAGAAAGTGGCAAGAATAAGAATATTCTAGAATCTAGCAAGAGCAAGAGGTAACTAACAAGCTCTAAAAGTAATGAAATTAATTCACAACTAAGCCCTAAAGCTTAGTAAAAGGAATTTGGAAGAGATCTAACTTTATTTTCCTGCAATATTGACCACCATTTAATTTAAGATCAGTCATCACCGGTGAAAAAGTGGAAGGAAAGCCTTTTTCTCATTATTATATACTGACTGATGTGCCCGGCATTGCCCGTGAAATTTTAAAAACAAATTTAGAGAAAAAAAAATTCTTATCGAAAGGGTTTCAGGAATTCATTAACTTGAGATCAATGTGTGTTTAAAAATCTTCAATGTTAAAATTTCGATTTTTCCGTTTAACCAGAAAAAGATAATATTCTCTTTAATCAGAGAACTTTCTTTTAACCAGAGAACTTTCATTTAACCAGAGAACTTCCCTTTAACCAGAGAACCTCCCTTTAACCAGAGAACCTCCCTTTAACCAGAGAACTTCCCTTTAACCAGAGAACTTACATTTAACCAGAAAACTTAACTTTAATCAGAGAACTTCTCTATAATCAGAGAACTTCCCTTTAATCAGAGAACTTCCCTTTAACCAGAGAACTTCCCTTTAACCAGAGAACTTCCCTTTAACCTTACGAATAATGATCCTAGTAATGTGATTATCTCAGAGGGTTCGTGGAAGGGGGGGGGGGGTGTCGCCAATAGAGATGAGCATCGCTTGTGAAAGAACGAAATTTTTCGTGAACGATAATGTCGTTCAGAAAAAAAAACGATTTGGAAAGTTCACAGAAATATTAAACGATCTTTTTAAACCATTCATTTTTTAACTGATAGACCGATTTCAAAGAACGAACAATTTTATTGAACAAACGATTTTTCTAAAGATCGTTGAGTGAGAAAACGAACAAAATAGATGGAACATTAACACTAATCTTTAGAACGAACGAAATCTTTTTCTTTAATGATTGAAAAAAACGAAATGAGTCGTTCTCGAACGATTAACGAACAGAATGAAAAAGCCAAACACGCACATCTCTACGCCATGATGGGCAGGGAGGGGG